GGGGGTTTTTGGGGTTTTTGGGGTGTTTGGGGGTTTTGGGGTGTTTGGGGGTTTTGAGGTTTGGGGGTTTTGGGGTTTTGAGGTTGATGGTTTTGGGGCTTTTGGGGTTTTTGGTTTTGGGGTTTAGGGGTGTTAGGGTATAGGGTTGTGGGGATTTAAGGATTTGAGGGGTTAGGGGTGTTAGGGTTTAGGGGCTTAAACGAAGTGACCGGGGTGTGGAGAGTGAATACTATGGTCTTATACTAGTCTTATGCATGGAGAAACTTGTTTGCAAGCTCCCTATTTATCATCAACCCAGGTTTGCCTGCTTTGACTTCAACTACTTCTCGCTGCGCGGGCAAATGGGCCGAGCCGGTCTGAAGCCCTGGAATAACAAGTGGTGGATGATCTACGCCCCCTTCTCAGTGTATCGCCTGCTGGTAAGTAGGGAATGAAAGGAATGGGGTACGATTAACCATCGCAGCTACTACTTTACTACTGCTATTCCTTCATTCCCTAAACCAACAGGAAGTGCTTACGTGGGGGCAGCCTCATCCCTGCACCCCACAGACCCTGAAGTTCGCTTGGCACCTCCAGGACTTCAACAAGAATGAGGACAAGCCCAACTGGTGTCTTTTGGATCAGGACGAAGCTCGGGCTCGTTAGCCTCCCAAGACATGTGTGATGTACCTAACCCTAAACCCTAAACCCTAAACCCTAACCCTAAACCCTAAACCCGGTAGTCCGAAGAGCTTTACCAAGGAGGCCGGCAGCCTGCTTCGACGCGAGGCCTGCGTCGCGGTTGTGTCTCCGGAGGCGCCTTTAGGGTTTAGGGTTTAGGGTTTAGGGTTTAGGGATAAGGCTTAAGGGTTTAAGGGTTTCGGATTTAGCAAGGGGGCTTGATGATGTTTGCAAGGGGGCTTGGCAGGGGTTAACTTTTCCCTGCAGAACTAATGAATCCTAGAAACCTGTCTAAGTCTGAATTTACCTACTCTCTCTCTCTCTCAAATACCTGCTCTTACTCTTGCTCTTACTCTTACTCTTTCTCTTTATCTTTATCTTTCTCTTTCTCTCTCTCTCTCTCTCTCTTTCTTTCTTTCTTTCTTTAAATCCAAGAGCCTAAACCCTAGTGTATGAGCTCTCTCGGAAGCACGGCCCCTAGAAGCTTTGAGGAGTTCGAGAACGAACGTGGCCTTGCAGCACTTCGGAGGTTTTGCGCTAATGTCACCGATTGTGACCCCTCATGGATTTGTTGGTTGAGGCTTCAGGGTTGATTGTGCGTTTCAGGGGCGGAGGGCCGGAGGGGCGGAGGGGTGCCAAGTACGTCTTGCTCGCACCTTCTGTGGCTTTGCTTTCGGCAACATAACACGGCAAGTCGCCCGTTGAATGAAGCTTGCCATTTTCCTACCATGGTTGCATAAGCCTTAGTCAAGAACAACGGTTGAAGAAGCGAATTCTGAGCGGATCGGATTGAAGCGTACCAATGTGCGTGGCGTGCTCACGCACAAGCGAAAGCTTGTTGGCAGGGCTGATTTGTGAGCCTAAGCGCGGGAAATTCAAAGCACTGTACGACATTCTCGTTGTAACAAGCAGCTTCGCTACCAGGCTTAGGGAATCAGGAATCAGGTGCTTCGGGCTTGTGTTTAGGGCTTTCGAGTTTATGGTTTAGGGTTTAGGGTTGTGTTTCAACTTAGGTTCCAGAAACCTGGGGCTGGGGGGAGGGGAGGGAGGGGGCGGTGGCTATCAAGCTCTTCAAGCCCTGTAGGCCCGAAAGCCCTGAAAGCAAACCCCATGCCAACCCGAAACCTTATGCTCACAAACCCCGTAACTTTGCAAGCCCTGAACCCCTGAAACTTCAGCACATGCCGATACAGACCCTAAAGCCATTTATGCCCCAAACCCTAAAATTTCCAAACCTTACGAACCCTGAAAAAACCCTCCAAGCCCTAAGCCCTCAACCCTAAACCCTAAACCTCAAACAGCCCAAGACTGGCCTTGGACCTCGGAATGCTGAGGTGTGGTTCCCATTACCTTGGGCAGCAGGCCGTGGCCGACCAAGGTCTGCCCACTTTTGAGGTTTGGGTGCTTGGGGTTGAGGGTTGAGGGTTTAGGTTTAGGGTTTAGGGTTTATAGGGTTGAGGGTTGAGGGTTAAGGGTTTAGGGTTTAGGGTTTCGGGTGTTTCGGATTTCGGGTGCTTAGGGTTTTGGGTGTTTCGGGTATCGGGGTGTTTAGTGCTTTGGGTGTTTACTGTTTTGGTGTTTCGGATTCAGGGTGTTTCGGGTTTTGGGTGTGTTTCAGGTTTTCTGGGTCGACTTTTGATCAAGCAGGCCGTGCAGGGGGGGGGCAGGTCTGGCCATTCCCCATCTCCTCACTCAACCCTAAGCCTACAACCCTATAACCCGACCCCCCTAACCCTACCATTTTTGTAGATCTATGCATGATAAAACAGGATTCTCAGGGGATCCTAGACAAAAGTGTAGGTTTGGGGTTCCCAAGGTCCAAAATATGCCCTGTTGTGTTACCCTAAACCCAAAACTCGAATGTGGCAAACCTTCGGGCTAGGAGACCTGCTTTGTCGTCTTCCTGCCCGACTCCGAAACGCTCGTGGAGGAGGGTGGGGGGGGAAGCACGTAACACCCGTGACCCTCAACCCTGAACCCTAAACCCGAGTTAAACCCACTTAAGATTAGGGCTTAGGGTTTAGGACTCCGCAGCGAACTCCACAAAGTGGGAACCCTGTCAACCCTAACCGGCTAAAAGCCCTCAGTCAAAGGTTCCAAGTATGGGCCCCTTAATTTGGGTCCCCCTTGTCCTAATCCCTAACCCCCAAAACCCTGAAACCCTTATGTACACCATGCAATATCAGAGCCCATGCTTCGGATCCCTGTTTACAAGGGCAAGGGACCACGGTAAGGGCACATGGTTCCAACCTGAGAAAACCTGTTTTCCTGGTTTTCAACGCCTAAACCCGAAACCCTAAACCCTAAACCCGAAACCTGTTTTCCTCAACTTCGAACATCGGGAGCGCCCCAGGCTTTCGTGTCCAAGGCGACGGCCAAGTGGGCCATCTGTCGGGCAAGGTCCATGGCGCTGCAGGATTTTAAAGGGGTTTAGGGTTTAGGGTTTTGGGTTCAGCCCTCACCCCGAAGCCTTAAACCGCAGGTTTCGAGACCGGCCGCGAATCAGAAACACCTCCTGCCAGCATGGGCCATTCTACCCTATAACCCTGAAGAAGGCCCTTTATGATTATGGGGATTATAGGGTCGAACCCTAAACCCTAAACCCTAAACCGTAAACCCCAAACCCATCCTGGTGTGCCCCAGGAGGAGCAGCTGAAGACGCTCTTTGCTTGGGCCAAGGAGCCAAAGCTGGCGGCGAAGTGCAAGGGCCAGGAGGTGACCGGCATTCAGGTCGCCGGACACGCGGTTTAGGGTCTAGGGTCTATAGGGTTTAGGGTTTAGGGTTTGGGGTTGCAAGATACTTGACGGTTCATGGGCATGTAGCATTGCTGTAGCTGAGCTTACCAGCCGGGTAACCTTCTCATCTCATGTATGAACCTGCTTACTTCCAACCATGAACCTTCAAGTACATGAGCTTGTAGGGTTTGTTTGGGGTTTAGGGTTTAGGGTTTAGGGTTTAGGGTTTAGGGTTTAGGGTTTAGGGTTTAGGGTTTAGGGTTTAGGGATTCATGGGCATTCAGAGTACTGTTCTGCCCGCAGGTGTGTGGGCAGGATGTCCAGAAACAAGTCCAGGCAGCAGCCCAACATTCGCTTGCATCCTTCGGCTTCTACTTGCAGGTTCATGGTACTTATGCACCATATTAGGGCACTTACAGGGCTTACAAGTGGGTTATAAGTACAGCTATAATTGGTTATTAAGTGCCATGAACCTCCAAGTATGTCCTTGTGGCGTGTTTCCCTGAATCTGGGTTGGCACAAGCTTTGCGAACTGCAGGATTCCCTGACTTTGACTGGCATGGCCACGGGTGCGAAGAACATCCGCGTGATCCCTGAAAAGGCTGCTCGGTCTGGAGGAAATGAGCCCTAAGCCCTCAGCTCTAAACCGTTAAACCGCCCGGCTTGCAGAAGCAGCCAGGAAACGGAGACCTTGGCAACAAGTTTCTTCGAAACGTGGAAAGACGAGGCGCGCAGAGCACATAGGCCTAGCTGCCACCAAGTGTCTTCCTCCACCCTTCCTCCGAAAGTCATTGTATTGTCACTGTCTGACAGATGGCATGAACCTGCCCTTAATTGGGGAACCCTGCAAAGCCCAAGACCCCTAAGAATCTCACGCCAGGTGTGATGTGCTTCCACTTGACGGTGCAAGACGACGTGCAAAGAAGCGGGTTTGGGGTTTAAGGTTTAGCTTTCGGGTTGGTCGAGATCGTGGGCCCTCTTTGCACCGTACAGTATTTGTGGTAGTGACCACGCAAGGGCCTATGATGTTGCATGCCCTCACAAGGTGCAGTACGTGTACATAGCTTCGCTGTGCTGGCAAGCGGTGTAACCGGCGCCGCTGCGCTAACAAAGCAGGCAAGCGCGCTCCAACGTGGCGTGCGGGCCGAAGAAAAGGGTTGCAAGTCCGCTGGCAGGCATGAAGTCAGTCTTCTAAGTGACGCTCCCGCAAGTTCGGGCGCCCGAAGTCCTAAACTCTCAACCCTCAACCTTAGTAGCTGCGTAGATCACCTTTAACCTTTTGGGGGGTATATACAATCCTACTAACTATATTCGAAAGATGAACCGTTTTTGGGCCAGGGTACTCAGCAGCTTGGCAACCCTAAGCCCTAAACCCTAAACCCTAAACCCTAAACCCTAAACCCTAAACCCCTAAACCCCTAAACCCCTAAACCCCTAAACCCTTAAACCCGTAAACCCTTAAACCCTTAAACCCTTAAACCCTTAAACCCTTAAACCCTTAAACCCTTAAACCCTTAAACCCTTAAACCCTTAAACCCTTAAACCCTTAAACCCTTAAACCCTTAAACCCTTTACCCTCATTGTTAAGGGCCCTTCCTGGCCAGGTGGATGACCTGCAACGCGAGCTGAAGCTGGAGACGTCGGATGTGATGCAAGACTCCTTGCCAAGACCTTAGCCGTTTAGGGTTTAGGGTTTAGGGTGTAGGGTGTAGGGTTTAGGGTGCAGGGTTTAGGGTTTAGAGGGTCTATAGGGCTTAAATCAGCGAGGACTTGCAGCCAAACACCACCCCCCAGTGAGAAGTCAGGGTCTACGCCACATTTTGGCGGTTCAAGAGATACTTCATTTCTTCCACTACTGTCCTCTTGCAGGAAATTTGTTCAGAAGACACCCCACACCCCAAACCTTAAACCCAGGGTTGCCAAACCCTGAAACCCTATATCCCTAAACCCTAAACCCTAAACCCTATATCCCTAAACCCTGAACCACACGTAGGATGACAGTTGTCAGGCCATCCGGGCCGACGACGCCGAAGGCACGTGACACATGCGCCGTGACTGTCTAAGGTTCAGGGCTTGCTGTCGGGCTTAGGGTGCCCTAAACTCTAAACCCTAAACCCTAAACCCTAAACCCTAAACCCTAACCCTAAACCCCCTGTTCTGCAGGGGCCGGGACGCGGAACCTCGCGGGCTTCCCACACTTCAAGTGCGGCGGCTTTGCCAGGGCAGAGGCCGATGTTCCGCATCGCAAAGCACGTGTTGAGGGTTTAGGGTTTGGGGTTTAGGATTAGGGTTTAGATCTACTATTTGCTGAAGATCCCCGCAAAAAACGAGAGAGATAATCCCTATATGGGGTCTGAAGCAAACAGCAGTAGGCTGTTAGGGTTTAGGGTTGATCAGACCACCTGCCTTTGAGGTCCTGGCCTCCTGTGAAGTCAGAACCCCATAGTTAATTCCTGTCGACGACCTGTCGAGAAATGCTGCTTGCCTGGGTATCCCCGCCCCTGCTGCCGCTACATCTAATCTTGCGAAAGGCACCACGAAGCACCCATACGTTTAATGAGTCAGGTACAGCACTGTTTTCCTTTGCGAATGCAAAGGAGACTAGCCTGAAACACCTAAGCCTAAACCCATGTGTACTCCTTTGGCCATCCGCTGCTTTTGCTTCTCTTCATAGTGCTAAGCACCGACCGGCTCGGTTCTGATCTACGGTTTTTTTTAATGGAAGGCGTTTTGGGTACAGTCCGCCCAGATGCCACGCATGTAGTCCGAATATTTCGCTGGGTACTCTCACAACACCCCCGAAAGCGCAAGCTAGCGGCTTGCGTACCTGGGAAAGACGCTCGTAAGGCTGTCCGTAATGTCGACTCAGAAACCTGCAGCTGGAAAGTTTCCCCTTCGGCTTCTAGAATCCTAGAGCTTGCATTTGCTCAACTCTTCAGGCAGTTTATGGCACCCAAAACCCAACACCCTAAACCCTCAGCCCTAAACCCTAAACCCCAAACCCCAAACCCTGAACTCTACCATCAGCAAAGTCAAAAAGTCACTGGTTGCCAGGTCTCCGAGTGCTGATGCGTCCTTGGGAGTCGAGGCGGGGTGCACCCGGAAGGGGGGGGGGGTTAGGGTTTAGGGGTTTAGGTTCTGGGGTTTTGGGGTTCTGGGGTTTTGGGGTTTTGAATTGGGGTTTTGGGGGGTTTGAGGGCCTTAGGGTTTTAGGGCTTTAGGGTTTTGAGTTTTTCAATGTTGATTTTGAACCCCAAATCTGAAAGTGACTTGGAGAGGGTTTAGGGTGAACAGGGCATGGAGTTCTCGGAGGCCGGATGGATGAGAAGTTGCGTCGTGTGTCCGTTCAAGCCAAGGCGGCGCTTCGTTTCACAGTCTAGCGGGCGGAGCCACATCAAGGTTAGACCCTAAACCCTAAACCCTAAACCCTAAACCCTAAACCCTAAACCCTAAACCCTAAACCCTAAACCCTAAACCCTAGCCCTAAACCCTAAACCCTAAACCCTAGACGAGCAGATGTGGGGGTTGATCTCAATCATGGGCATTCTTCAGCCTGCCACTCCAGTACAGTCTTTGTCCTTGTGGTTGAGGGCACCGAAATGGTGGTTTCCGAAATTCGGAAGGGAATCCTACTCTTGGGGGTCTAGATTGGGGGTCCCCTGATTTCGTAAACCTCCAAGTGGGTCTATGGTTTTACTTTACAATTGTGACCCTGACAGGCGCTGCCGCCGAACCCATCGCAGGCTCTCCTGCATGGGATCATGAAAATAGCCATGGCGGATGTTTTCCCCACTGCTTGCAATGGAGAGCCAAAGCCGCTTGTCCAACGGCCACACCCTAAACCCTAAACCCTAAACCCTAAAATCCCTAAAACCTAAACCCAAAAACGGCCCTTTGCCATGTGCTTGTGGAAGGTGCGCCAGCTTGCCGTGGAGAATGCTGCCACCCTAGAAAGGCGCCTTTGCTCAGCCTTGCCGCGCTCTTGACCACCCTAAGCCCTAAACCCAAAACCCTAAGCCCCCAAGCCTATAGATCCCTGAACCCCTTCACACCCTACAACTCTCAGCCCTGGTCGCGACATTCAAGGCCCTAAACCCTAAACCCTAAAACCCCATGGATAGGGGGGTGGTACTCTCGTGGGCATAGGCAAAAGGGATGAGCAGGGGCAGGCCATACCGCTTTCCCAAGATGCTCGTCCAAACCCTAAACCTCAACCCTAAAACCCGAAACTTTGAAGCCTTTCGCAGACTCCGCGCGGAGAACGCGCGTTTGCGGAACCTCTGCGCTGAGAGGGGTCTCGCGCGGCTCCCAGTCTTGAAATAGGTGTTTAGGGTCTAGGGTTTTAGGGTTGAGGTGTAGGGTTTAGGCTTTGGGGTTTAGGGTTTAGGGTTAGGGTTTAGGGTTGAGGGTTCAGGGTTTAAGGCCTTCTTTTTGCTCACCTAGACTACCAGGAGCAGACCCAAAAAGACAACAGGCCGAGGTCACAATGTAGATGGTGTCAGGAATCTGGGGGGAAACTTCAAGCTGTATAAGGCATCAGACTCTACACAATTGAAAACTCATCATGTTTGCCAGAGAACCAAGTTCAGTGGTGACCCAAAAGCGACTCGAGAGCGCTCGAACGTGCTGGCAGATGAAAAGTTCCGAGAGTCCGACACGGCCTCAAGGAAGGAGTAGACGTTAAACTCACCTGCGGTTTGGGGTTTAGGGGGTTTGGGGGGTTTAGGGGGTTTAGGGGGTTTAGGGGGTTTAGGGGGTTTAGGGGGTTTAGGGGGGTTAGGGGCATTTGGGGCTTAGGGGGTTTAGGCTTCAGCTTGCCCTACACCCTAAACTCCACATCCTAAACCCTAAACCCTAAACCCTGAACCCTAAACCCTAAACCCTACGGGGGTAGGGTTATGTCACCGAGTCGAAAACGGAAGGGGTCCAATTCCAGGATGGCGACGGCTCGCCGCGATCTCCTCGCAGGCGGCACCCTCCTCCCCCCCATCCCTGACCCAAGGGGGTTTAGGGGTTAGGGTTTAGGGTTTAGGGGTTTAGGGTTTAGGGTTTAGGGTTTAGGGTTTGGGGTTCATTCCTACAATTTGCTTAAGAACCCCCCCCCCCCCCCCCCCCCCCCCCCCTCACCCAAGAGGGTTGAACTCGACAAGTGGGTTTGGTCATTGGTGTTCGTACAAGCTGTCACTCTGCATTTTCCTTTCCTTCTTAAAGTCCCAGGGTTCAGGGTTTAGAGTGTAGGGTTTTAGGGTTTAGGGTTTGGGGGTTTTAGGGCTTGGGGTTTAGGGTAGGCTTTCCAGACGTACCAGCTGCCCATGGCTGTGCACACGGAGCATAGGTAAGAGACTTAATCCCAACCTTCAATCACCTAAGCTTTACGAACCAAGTTTGCGCAAGACCCCCTTCAGACAGAAAAGATCATGATCCCTATATATCCCTCATAAGGAAGGATCTGTTTTTTTTGGAGGGAGTGGTTCTTACGCAAACTGTAGCCCTAAACCCTAACCCCTAAAGCCTAAACCCCTAAACCCTAAACCCTAAACCCCAAACCCCAAACCCTTAACCCCTGAACCCTAAACCCTAAACCCTAAACCTTATTCAGAGGTCGGCCTTGGCCCCTGAACCCTCCCGCCAGGGCGCGATCGCGGCCCAAGGGGACGGAAGCGCAGCCACTGCGGTCCCTGCTTCAGCCACGGACCGCAGGCAGCCGGGGTTGAGGGTTTAGGGTTTAGGGTTTAGGGTTTAGGGTTTAGGGTCTAGGGTTTAGGTCTAGGGTTTAGGGTTAGGGTTTGGGGTTTAGGGGCTGAGGGGTAAGGGTCTGCGAGTTCCGAGAGGGGTTTGGGGGGGGGGTTCAGATGACCTCAACGCCTCCAAGCTCTGCATGCTCGACGTCGGCCGACGTTCAGGCGAGATGTACAAAGCACCGGCTTCTCCGGCGAGCTTCGCAACCCCTCGAAGCCAGGAGCGAGGTGTCGGGTCGACATAGGGGCTTGTTCTAAAAAATACTAATATTAAGTATGAATATTAGTAATATCAGTATTATTAGTAATATTAATCTTATCAATAATATGTGTAGTAAGGGTCTACAGGGACAGCCTGGAGGGCTTTGTTGGAAGAATGCTGACTTGGAAAGCAAAGTCCGATAGCAAAAGCAGCAGGTTACGGCCAGCCGGATGTTACGTTTAAGCTTCTCAAGCGAGTGTGGAAGCAGCCAGAGCCATGGCAAAGTACATGTCGATGACGTCGATGACAGCACTAGCAGCCGCCGCGGCAGCCATCTCTTGGCAATCAGCTTAACCCAGCTGCTACAAAACCAGGTTGCTGCATAATGCTTTGCTGTCACAGGGTTTGGAGACTTAGTGTAGGCAGGATGGTCCTTCGATGTGACAGCGTGGGGGAGCTGTGTACCCGCCCCCGCGAGGATGGCTTTTGCGTTCAACCTGGCATTCCCGCGGCAGGCCCGGTGGCATCAACAGGGTTTAGGGTCTTAGGGTTTTAGGGTTTAGGGTTAGGGTCTAGGGTTTAGGGTTTAGGGTTTAGGGTTTTAGGGTTTAGGGTTTACCCACCAGCAGAGCAGACGATGTGTTCGGCATAAGATGATGGGGAACTTGTGCGGCCTCGCTAAACCCTAAACCCTAAACCCTAAACCACCTCTGTGCATCGCATGGCATGCGAGTGCCAGGAGTGCTCCCGGTGCCGGTGCGCTACGTCACTCCCAGGAAGCCTGGCATGGAAACGGGCTTGGGGATTAGGGTTAGGGTTTAGGGTTTAGGGTTTAGGGTGTAGGGTTTAGGATTTAGGGTTTAGGGTTTAGGGTTTAGTGTGAGGGTTTGGGTTTTTGGGTTTGGAGTTTGTGGTTTAGGGTTTGGGGTTTAGGGTTTGGGGTTTCGGGTTTGGGGGTTAGGGTTTAGGGTTTGGGGTTTGGGGTTTAGTGTTTTGGGGTTTGGGGTTTGTAGGGGTTTAGGGTTTGGGGTTTGGGGTCTAGGGTTTAGGGTTTCGGGTTTGGGGTTTGGGGTTTGGGGGTTAGGGTTTGGGGTTTAGGGTTTGGGGTTTAGGGTTTGGGGTTTAGTGTTTTGGGGTTTGGGGTTTGAGGCGCACTGCGCACCCAAAAAACCATCCAAGTCCTAAACCCCCTAGAACTTTAAACTGCCCTGCAGGGTTTCGGGGTTTAGGGGTTTGGGGTTTAGGGTTTAGGGTTTAGGGGCTTAGACTTCAGCCAGTGCCAGGGCAACCCCCCGGGCAGTGTCACCACCGCCAATGCCGGCGCCGGCTGTCTATGCAGCTCCTGTCAGAAGCTTCTCAGGACCGAAGCAGGGAGTTTAGGGTTTAGGGTTTAGGGTCTAGGGTTTAGGGTTTAGGGTTTAGGGATACTGTGGCTTTGAATCCTAAGCTCGAAACCCAGTAATTAAGGATGTTGGGGCTTTGAGCCCCTAGAGCCCTAATCCCAGCAAGGGTTTAGGGGCTTGCAACCACAAACCCTAAGCCCCAAACCCTAAACCCCAAACCCCAAACCCTAAACCCCCCAATAACCCGAACCCCTGCCTTGCAGTTGCCAGGATACCCGACGTTCGGCGGAACGCCCATCAGCTTGTAGGTCTCCGCCCCGGCCTTGTACTTTCAATAAGGGTCTTTGCTTAGAGTTTAGGGTTTCGGGTTTAGGGTTTAGGGTTTAGGGGTGGGGGGGGGGGGGGGTGTCCCCGAACCCTCAACCCTAAGGGCTTCGGGTTTTGGGGTATTTTTTCGGGTTTGGGGTGCAGGGGGTTGCCTAGGCTTTCCGATGTTTAGGGTCTTGGGGTACTGGGAGCCTAGCCATGAGAGCAAGCAGCACACTTGTTCTGGTTTAGGGTTTAGGGTTTAGGGTTTAGGGTTTAGGGTTTAGGGTTTAGGGTTTAGGGTTTAGGGTTTAGGGTTTAGGGTTTAGGGTTTAGGGTTTAGGGTTTAGGGTTTAGGGTTCGCACCACCACTGTGATCTATGTTCGCTGTCCTTCCGCCCAGGTTCACCTTGCTAATGCCGTTTCACTCTGATGCCGGATCCAGGAATCACCTCTCAGAGCCTTCACATGGATGGTTCCCTAAACCCTAAACCCTAAACCCTAAACCCTAAACCCCAAACCTCAAACCCCAAACCCCAAACCCTAAACCCTAACCCTGGGCACCCTGGGTACCCTGATTCTAGGGGCCCCGTAGTCTAGAGCCCCAAGCCCGAACTACCCAAAAAAATTCCCGTCAGCCAAGGGCTGCAGCTTCGAGTCCCCTCAATTGCAGGGTTTAGGGTTCAGGGTTTCGGGGTTTAGGGGGGTCGGTCAGTTTAAGGTTTGGGGCACTCAGCGTATCGATTCCAAACGTCAGGTGTCTTATACCGCCGGAGAAAAAGTGTCGTGACCTGCAGCGGTGTTCGACTGCAGTGGCAGAGTGCTGCGCGAAGTCCAACAAGCCATCACCATGACAACGCTCTTTACGCCGAAGCCTCTCCTGCTCCAGCATTCTTAGAGGACAAGTCCCGGAATCCTCACTAAACATGCTACGCATCGGCTGTGAGTTTTCGAGCGGCTGTTATTACCTTCCGATGTTAAAGAATGACAACGCGAGCAGATGAATTCCATACATGTAGTGCACTCAGTGCAGGTGAGCCCAGGCGCAGCGACTTTCGCAGAGAGCCAAACGGTAACTGCAGTCGCCGTCAGCCCCTGATCAACTCAAGCAAGTGAGTTCCGAGTCAACAGCACTCCACCCTAAACCTTATAAACCTTATAAACTCTAAACCTTCTACCAAAAACCCTAAACCCTAAACCCGTAGTCGACTCTCCTAACACGTGTGCGGCACAGCATGGTGCAATGACGGAGGGCGCGAACGTCGACTTAGAGCCTGAGTCGGACGACGAGGAAGTCGTGCCTGCTGGAAAGGATGCTGGGCCCGACCCGTAGGGTAAATCTTCTTATGCTTTAGGGTTTAGGGTTTAGGGTTTTGGGTTCGGGGTTTAGGCTTTTGAAAAGAGTGAACCAATTTCTTTTCAGTCTACCAACAGCCGAGGATGGAGAGGCCGCGGGGGAGGCGGGCGGGGAGCCCGCGGCGGCAGCGGCAGCAGAGCCAGGGGCGGCAAAAGCTCCTGGCGATGTCCCCGACACTTGGGGAAATTGAATGGGGTTTAGGGTTTAGGGTTAGAATGCGCCGTAAAATATATTAGAGCCCAGTAATATCACATGGACATAAGGATCCTACTATTTAGGGGTATAGGGGCCCCAACAAGTGGGATTCTGGAAAACCCTGTTTCTAGAATCCTTGTGTTTATGTGGTTTTTGTTTTTTGGACCCCTATAAAAAAAAGGCAGGCTTTTGGCGCATGACTGTTCCCGAAAAGGAACTATGGCAGTATAGGGTGTCTACAGTCTTGTGGGCTATACAGTTATACCTACTGTACTAACTAAAGGCAATTTCTACTAAGCTGTGCGAAAATAGAGTCCCAGGTATGAAGGTCTATGGTCCATGAGTGCCCTACTAGTTTTTGTCGGTAGTATGGGGGGTGTCTGAGCCCAACCCTGGGTTGTTCAACTGGCCCCTATCTAAACCCTAAACCCTAAACCCTGCCTGAACCCTGAACCCTGAACCCTAAACCCTAAACCCGAAACCCTAAACTCTAAACCCTAAACCCTAAGCCCTAAACCCTAAACCCTAAACCCTAAACCCTAAACCCTAACCCTCTTTCCTAAGGATGAGCCCATGCCTCAGAACCCCGCGACGGAGCCCGCGGAACCGGCGGAGCCCTTAGCAGAGCAGCCGCCAGGGCCGCCACTATCAGAGCCGCTGGGAGAGCCGCACCCCGGCAGGCTTTTGTAGGGTTTAGGGTTTAGGGCTTAGGGCTTAGGGCTTAGGGCTTAGGGTTTAGTGTTGTTTTGTGTGTGTGTGTGCTTGTTAGCTCGGTTCTTTTTCAGGACAAACCTTCACGGAGTCATGAGACACTTGACGCCCCAGTTCCCCCCAGTTGTGCATCTTTGAAAGAAACTTGTTATCTACCACGAGAGAGAGAGAGAGAGAGCGAGCAAGATAAGACTGTATGTGAGGGTTGTTCAAAACCCCCCTCGTCTTCGAGTTATACTGGGGCGACCATCAGATGATGGAAATGAGGGTCCGCGAAAGTCCGCGATGGGCCCGCGAAAGACAAATCACGCTTTCGCGAAGTTTTGTGTTAGTACTGTTTGTGCTGAAACTAATACGGGTGTAAAATATTCTCCGCGAAAGTCCGCGATGGGCCCGCGAAAGACAAATTGCTTTTCGCGAAGAATGGTCGTTTTGCCGTGAAGCAATTTCGAACAACCGTCATGTAGCTACTGAAAAAGGGACCAGGAGATTGAGGGGGGTATCTTGGGATGCTCCCCCTTATACTACCAGTCATCAATAGTGATTCTAGTACTCCCGATTAAAATCCCCATTAAGGACTGTTAGTAGAAGGGGGAACATCCCAAGGGGTATTCACCCTAAACCCTAAACCCTCGACCCTAAACCCTAAACCCTAAACCCTAACCCCAAACCCTAAGCCCAAATAAATCTTAAGCCTGCAAGGAGGGCCGGGATGGAGCTGGGCGACTCCTTCCTGGATGGCCAGAATGGCAACCTACGCGCCGAGCTGACCAGCGCCGACGCCCTGACGGTGGAAGACGGCGCCCCGGTTCCCTTGATTCTGGGCCATTGTTGAGAACCATTTTACATGGTTTAGGGTTTAGGGTTTAGGGTTAGGGTTTATGATAACTTAAACCCAATAAGGAGTCAATGAATTCGTCATTGTTAAATAGTACCCCAGCAATGGTGCAGGATTGTGGAGCCCGACGCCCTCAACGTGACACAGGAGGGCATGGAAATCGAGTATGACGACGAGGTTTTGCAAATAGGCCTGGCTCACTCCCCTTTGTTGAATTTGGACCCGGGGTAGACCAGGCCCTTTTGTTCGGAGTACCCTAGACCCTAAACCCTAAACCCTAAACATAAAGCAGGCAAGGGAGTGCCCTCTTCTTAGATTCCTCCAGGTGAGCTGACGGATCCCTGGATTCTCCCAGACTATGCCGAGCAGGCCAAGTCGCAAGAACAAGTTTTGGAGGGAGCGCCACTTCTTTGCACCGGTTGCTGCTGGTGTCCTTCACGCTTGCTGCTCGTATTTCAGGGGTGCAGGAGAAGAGACAGGGGAAGAGAGAGAGAGAGAGAGAGAGATCGGTTACTCCAAAGCACACTGCAACGCACGCCTCCGGGCGACCTCCCCCAATAGGGGGAGGTTAGGTGCGCAGAAAGAAAGAAAAAAGAAAGAAAGAGCGACACCAAGAAAAAAGAATGAAAGAAAGAGCGACGCAGCGCGAGATACAGACAGAGACAAAGTTTTTTGCCGGGTGATTCGGACGAGGATCGCTCGTCTCCAGACAGACCTGGTTGGCCGTCGTTGCCGGGTCCCTTCGGGGGCCCCAAAGCATGCAGAAGAAGAAAAAAGAGAAGAATAATAGGCAGAAGGTTCAAGAAGAGAAGAAGAAGAAGAGAAGAAGCGAGAGAGTAAGTGTTTGTGTGTCTGTGCACGTTTGTTGATGTGTAGTGTGCCTTGATTGGTGTGTATGTCTCTGCCCGCCGCTCTTTGTCTCTGCATCTTCTACATTCTCCTCATCTCCTACTTCTGGCACGCACTTTCTAACTTCCTGGTTTGGGGTTTAGGGTTTACGGTTTTTTCCGTAGAAACGCAATGACGGCTTTTATGGGAGGACGCCAGGATGGAGAAGGACTTCGGGATCTGGGATGGTCAGGAGCCCAAGCTTCGGATTCTGTGCAGAGCCGTCCACGCACCCATCCCCAAACCCTAAACCCTAAACCCTAACCCCTGAAACCCCTAAATCCTGGACCCTAAAGGTCTGCATCCATCAGAAACCTCAAGCAGTGAAGGCTGTTGCTTGTGTGCAACAGATCACGCACTTTACAAGGTCATGTGCCCTTTTTTAGGGCTTGCCGCAAGGACCCCAAAACCTACTTTGTTTTGTAGGCTGCCCAAGAATCATCATCATAACGGTTTAAATTGTAGGTTCGGGTTTTTTATGGCAGTGCAAACGTTTAGATTTGGGTTTAGGGTTGAGGGTTTAAGGCTTAGGGGTTAGGAGGCCAAGCGCCGCATCCATGTGTACAGCTGCAAGCCTTGAGCGGAGATATGCAAAGGCGAAGGTGATCGGGAAGAGGCCGCAGTCCCAGCAGACGATGCGAGGCAGCTCCTTGAGTGTTCGGCTGTGGTGGAGGTAGTTCTTGTTTACGTGGTAAGCCCTAAACCCTAAACCCTAAACCCTTACGTGTGATTGCTCAATATTGTGCAAGATATTTCAAAATCGATTAAAAAAATAATCTTTTTCCTAAACCCTAAACCCTAAAGCGCAACTACATCCAATCCTTGGCTGATTCTTTTTGGGGGGTCATCTATCGAAGTCTCACTCGTTGGTACGGGGGAATGTTCACTTGGGGTGCTCCCTCCAGGGAGTGAATCAGAGATGACACGGGGCTTAGGGTTTAGGACTAGGATTTCGGGTTTAGGGTTTACAGGGGCTTAGGCCGTGTCGGATCGTGTCGTGAAAAGTCGCACCGGCTTTTCGCGATGACTGCGGAGTCTCAAGCACTAAACCTGCGAGCAGGCAGGGCCCCAGGACAGCATGGCCAGTCAAGCCGGCACATACGCAGTCAGCAGATGGTTTAAGATGACACTGCCGCGAGACCGGACGAGACAAGCCCCACTGAGCCCCAGCGAGACTTGGTGAGAGCCCTCGTCGAAGATGTAGAGCTTTGACTTGTCTGCCCTTTAAGCCCACCCCTTGTACCCCTTGTACCCCTGAACCCCCCCCTAAAAATTTAGAATTCAAACCCGCCTTAAAACAACCCTCGTCGCAATGGAGCTGGCTACGCTCAGCGCCCCGTGGCATCCCATTCTTGGAAGTGGCCCTGTACATCTGCGCTGCTTGCGCCCCCCGCAGGGGCCCAGGGTCCCTTCGGCTGCAGATGGAATGACCACCACAAGTGGCTCATGTCGAGGTATCTGTCGTGTAGGACACTTAAACCAAAAGAGGGGAGGGGGTTTAAGATTCTAGAATCTAGAACCCTAGAACCCGACTCTAGAACCCTGGAACCCTAAGACTCTACATCCGAAGCTTAAACTTTAAACCCCGAAGCCTGAACCCTAAAACCGACGCTGCCCAGGCAACGCTCCTCATATTCCACAACCCTAAACCCTAACTCCTGATGAGCTCAGGTGTATAGAAATGTACAAATACGTATATTTATATGTAAACCTATAGTTATGTTTATATTATTTACATGCGTACATAATATATACATATACGTATACATATGCATATATATTTATACATACCTATATATATATATACTTATTTATTTATTTATTTGTTTATTTATTTATGTTTTTTGATTTATTTATATTTATTTATGTATTACTTATATGCATTTATTCGTCTTTCCGGGTTTTCACTGGCCCGGCAGGCTACATGGCGGCAGCCTTTAGGCGTGCGGGAGGCGGCGCTGGTGGCCCTATGCCTTGGCAGCCTCCCGCATCCGCGGCGCGCGTCGGGGCGCGCCTCGCGCCGGGAGACGGCCGCGAGAGCCGCGCCGGTGCTCACGCTCGATGCGGCCACGTGGCCTCGGTTCTCTCAGAAAAGGAGCCTCTCCCAAAAAAAGGCTCCAAAGATGACGTCCCTAATCCCATAAACCCTAAACCCCGAAACCCAAAAATAGCCCAAAATCCTGAAAGCCTCCCTCCAGCGCTCAAAGCTTGTAAGGCCAAAGCCTGGGGATAACGTGGGTTGCAACTCCAAGACCTATAGAGAGCCTGCCCCTTCATAAGTCAACATGCCTTAAAGTAAGTCGGATTCCTGAATGGAATCCGTTCCGGTATTCGGGTCTATAGATATGTATAGAGAGAGAGAGAGGGATAGAGAGAGTTTAGGGTTTATGGGCTTGAGGCTTCAGTTGTTCTTCTTTATTTGGTAAGTGGTAGAATTGAGCTCCCTGGAATAAGTGCGTCTTCTCCTGCGGAGAGAAGAAGCAAGCCGAGGCTTCACAGCTCCAGCTCAAGGTGCTCCTCCTGGAGCGCGGCTCTTCTGGAAGAGACTCCGACGCTCTCGTGGGCGAGGCAGGGTTTAGGGTTTAGGGCTTCGGGTTTTTAGGGTTTGGGGTTTAGGGTTTAGGGTTTAGGGTTTGGCATTCAAGTGTACTTTTGTGTCGTTCGTGGCTTTCGGGGGTTTCCGAAAATAGGGGTACCCGTTTTTGGCGGGGTCCCTTTACGGGGATTCTATTCTATTTGGGGTATTAAAGGGGGTACCCCTATTTTCAGAAATAACCATTTCATTACAGAGTGGCATGGTACCAAAGCACGTAAGACCGGTTCTTTGGTGAAACATGACGTCATGTTTCAGGTGTTCAAAGACTGCGGAGTGAGATGTACCGGTACAACTTGAAGATGGGCGCTGGCAAGCCAAAACATACAGAGCCTAAACCCTAAACCCTGAAACACCTAAACCCCTAAACCCCTTTAGGGGCGTGTGGCTTAGGGTTTGGCGTTTAGGGTTACTCCCCTAAACCCCAAACCCGACGGAGCCTAGTGACGTGCTCCCGCCGCTATTCTAAGGGAAGTTACATGGGCCCTGAATATGGTCCCTTACCTCCGTTAAAGGGTCCTGAAGTATGGGCCCTTGGGTTGTATGGATATATAAGGGGGATATGTATAAGAATTCCCCATTTTAAGGGCCCATCTTAAGGGGCCATGTAACTCTCCTTCGTGCGATAGGTCGGCCACGAGGGCGGCGAAGAGTGGAGGCAGGTGCGGCTGCAGGCTGCGGACGGAGACAGGCGAGGCCGCACGCTTTTGAAAGGGTTGGGGTGGGGGGGTGGGGGGGGGTTTAGGGTTTAGGGCTAGGGTTTAGGCTTTTGGGTGCATAGGGTTTAGGGTTCGGCGTCTTGGGGTTTAGGAACCCTTTCTTCCAACCCCCCTCTTTTCAAAACCTAAGAAACCCCAGAGCATCCCTTGCCTGTTCTTTTACACCCCACAGCCTGCGTGGTGCAAGGCCTGGCAGCCCTAAACCCTAAGCCCTGAACCCCCTACCCGAAACCCTAAACCCTGCACCCTGAACCCTGAACCCTAAGCCCTAAACCCGGAACCCTAAACCCTGAACCCTGAACCCTAAACGCGTGCACAGGTGGGAAGACGCGGAGGCCGACGTGTCCTTGACCATGCTGCTTTGACTGATTTGGGGGGTTTAGGGTTTGGGGTTTGGGGCTTAGGGCTTAGGGTCTAGGGTTTGGGGTTTGGGGTTTAGGGTTTAGGGCGATCGTGTGTGCCTGTGTGAAGTGGTCCCCTCGAGTTCATTGAGCAAGGCGTGGAAGCGCAGTCACCATGCAAAAAAAAGGGGTTTAGGGTTTATGGGGTTTACTGTAGGGTTAAACAAATCCCCAAATCCATGGAAGGTACTTGTTACAGCCCCCCCGCTTCCCGCCCCCCCTCCCCTCCGCCGTGAAAAAATGAGCTCAAAACCAAGAACTAGACCGTACTCAACCCCCAAAAGCCTCTTTTTGCCAAATGTGCTTCTTAACCCCCCCCCCCCCCACCCAAACAAACCATATAACAGGGCCCCCTCAAAATATTGCAAACCTAAACCCTAAGCACTATAAACCCTAAACCCTAAAACCTGAACCCTAAGCCCCAAACCCTAAACCCTAAAACCTAAACCCTAAACCCAGGCCAGACCCGGAGCTCTTGGCGGCCCTCTGTCCGGCGCGAGAGCCTTCTGCGGACTTCGGCACCGGCGACAGCAGGATGAAATGGGTGTAGGGTGTAGGGTTTAGGGTTTGGGGTTTTGGGTTAGGGTTTAGGGTTTGGGGTTTTGGGTTTAGGGTTTGGCGTTTGGGGTGTAGGGTTGGGGTTTCAGGGTTTGGGGTTTTGGGTTTGGGGCTTTGGGCCTGAAGCCCTAAACCTTAATATTTCCGGGTCCCTCAACCCAAGGGGGTTTAGTGTGGGGTTTTCGCAGAGATGGGCAGCTGGCCCGCGTCAGCTTGACCTTAGGCACGGTGGCGCCCACATGGCCTCGAGCCATCGGGAACAGCCTTGGGCCCTGGCCACTGAAAGGCCGGAGATGTAGGGTTTAGGGTTTACAGGGTTGGGGTTTAAGGTTTATAGGGTTGGGGTTTTCGGGTTTGGGGTTCAGGGTTTGGGGTTTACAGGGTTTCGGGGTTCAGGGTTCACCCACTGGTAGCCACAAACCCTCAATCCTGCACCCTCGGATTTCCGAGTACGAAGCAGAGTGACGAGGGACTGAAGTGTCAGAGGACACATCTTGTGTGGAACGTTTGGGTTTGGAGTTGCGGGTTGCTTTCGGGTTGCTTTCCCATGGAGTCCCAAGCAGGCAAAGTTGGGTGATACGAACCTGACGAGGTTTCATCTGCAGAACGCTCCACCCCGAGCCCTTGCCACGCCCCCAAGCCTCTAAACCCGCCCCAAAACCTCCCCAAAGCCCTACACCCGCCCCAAAGCCTCCCCAAAGCCCTAAACCCTGAACCCTAAACCCTTTAGGATTTAGGGTTTAGGGTTTAGGGTTTAGGGTTTAGGATGATTTAGGGCTTAGGGTTTAGGGTTAAACCCCAATACCCCCCCCGCCCCCCCCCCCAAAAGAGGTCCGGGTTGCATCCTCTTCGACGCCCAGCGCGTGGCCGAGGTGGCCGGGCGCCTGAGCGAAGGAAGCCGTGGACCGGCTGCTCGGATCTAACCCTAAACCCTAGGGTTTAGGGGTTCGGGTTTAGGGTTTAAAATTAGGGTTTAGGGTTTAGGGTTTAGGATTTAGGGTTTAGGGTTTAGGGTTTAGGGTTTAGGGTTTAGGATCAGGAGACTGAGTAGGCCCTCGGCTTTTTTCCCACTGCTGGATTGAAGAGGATCACCTTAAGGAAGATGTTCACATGATCAACGTAGGAGGGCTTTTCTTTTTCTGTGGGGGGAGTGGGGGGGGGGTTTAGGGTTTCAGGGCTTTATGGTCTTGGTACACCGTAGACACTGCGGCCCTAAAACCCCAGACCCGGCCGAAACCCTGATATCCTAAACTTCCTAAACCCAAAACCCTAGTGAACATCAAGGAACATATTGCGATGTTCCCCCGTATACTAACAGTCCTTAATAGGGATTGCAGTACCCCTCGATTATAATCCCCATTAAGGACTGTTAGAAGAAGGGGGAACATCCAAAAGAACAGCCCTTCAGCCAGATAGGGATCCTGAGAATCCATCTTATAAGGTGCAGATGCCTGAATGACGGAGTATTGGGCTCTCTCAGCTCCTAAACCCCAAGCCCTAAACCCTAAACCCGGTGCAAACCGTGTAGGGTTCAGGGCACTGGTTCAGGGCTTCAGTTCTTGGAAATTGTTCAGGGGTAAAAAGGAGTGACCCCGACAAGGTACCCTCAATCTTCCCCTCTAAAACCCCGATATACCCTATATACCTAAGTAGCCCCTCACCCCCAAATATTTCCTAAGGTCCCTTATAAGGGTCCCTGCTTTACGATTGGAAGGTCGTCATTCCGGGAGCAGCGGATATCTTGGACTTGCCTAGCACTGTCATGGTCCAGGACTTGTCGCTCTGATGCAAGGCTCAGGGAGACCTCAGGATTCGGTGATCCCTAAACCCTAAACCCTATACCCTAAACCCTAAACCGTTTAAATGAGTGTCCAGTCACCTACCAAGATGATGCGCTTTGTGGTCAGCTGAGGTTCACCTGCCTGATGGGGTCCTCCTTGCCAGACGTGTTTCCTCGGCTGATTTGCAATAACTGTGGGTTGAGGGAAAGTTGTTTTGGGCCCCAATTTCTACAAGTAGGGTTGACGTCAAGGTTTCCGGGGGGTGTAGTGTGCTTTTGGGGGTACTAGTAACAAAACACCCTACCTCACGCAACCCCACATATAACCCTACCGAAGTTCAACTTTCAAAGCGCCCCAGGTTGGGTGCTGAGATGGCAGCGCCGCAGTTGACGTACCAGGAGCTGCTCCAAGTCTGCCCCCTGGGAGGAACTGGTGCTGTCGACCTGACACGCGTCGAGCGAGTGACGGACGGCCGAGTGGTTGATTTGTTTGAGCCTGGGTAGGTTTTTGGGACATTTGAGTTTAAGAGGATCATAGTAAGGAATTTTTTAGGATTTAGGGTTTAGGGAACTGTAGGGGCCATCTAAGGAGCAGCCCTTCAACATGCAGTACATGTCTCGTCGATGGTCTCGTGGCGCTGTGATCAAAGCCGTGGGGAAAAATGGTGTGGCCGACATGGCCGGCATCCAAGCTGGAGACATCATTGACCCTTGGCCTCGACTATTTTTAGTGGATTAGGTGCCAAAAGCATGCCTGAAAACATGGCCCTTCGAAATCGAACGCCACATGCCCACCAGACCCGTTCTCACTCAAATAGACTCGACCCGTATATAGATTACCCTAAAGACGAGTACTCATTTAATTGCAGAGGCCCTGTATTGCCCTCCAGTGGCTCCTGCACCTGCTTATCACAGCTTTGGCTTGCGATGGTGAAAGGAACCCCCCAAAAAAGAGGGTTCTTAGGGTTTCCAGGGTGCAGGTCCAAGGATTTGGGGTTTAGGGTTTCTTGGGAATGTTTAACGCCCTAAACCGTTTAGGGTTTAGGGCGCCATCGAAAGCTGTCAGGTTACCATCAATGGCGAGGGAGTGCTCAATGCCACGCTGGAAAGAGTCTCGGTGCCCGTAATTCAAGATCAGGTTCCCTCCTAACACCCAGGTAAGAAAAGAAAGTAAGCCAACTCGGCAATAAAAGCCCCAAATCCCGAAACCGGAAACCCCAAACCCCAAACCCTAAACCCTAAACCCTAAGCCCTAAACCCTACACCCTACCTAGGGGGTAAGTAAGCTGAGGAGTGGAGGAACTGCTGGAGGCCGAGCTTCCCGTGCGCCTGGAGGTCGCGCAGCCTGTGCTGGAGGAGCCGCTCTACATTCGAGAGGCAAGGGTTTGGGGTTTAGGGTTTAGGGTTTGGGGTCTAGGGTTTAGGGTTTATATAGGGTTTAGGGTTTGGGGTCTAGGGTTTAGGGTTTATATAGGGTTTAGGGTTTGGGGTCTAGGGTTTAGGGTTTGGGGTTTAGGGTTTGGGGTCTAGGGTTTAGGGTTTGGGGTTTAGGGTTAGGGTTATATAGGGTTTAGGGTTTGGGGTCTAGGGGTTAGGGTTTAGGGTTTTGGGGTCTAGGGTTTAGGGTTTGGGGTTTAGGGTTTGGGGTTAGGGTTTAGGGTTTGGGGTTAGGGTTTGGGGTTTAGGGTTTAGGGTTTGGGGTCTAGGGTTTAGGGTTATTAGGGTTTAGGGTTTGGGGTCTAGGGTTTAGGGGTATTAGGGTTTAGGGTTGGGGTTTAGGGTTTAGGGTTTGTTTGGGGTTAGGGTTTAGGGTTTGGGTTTAGGGTTTAGGGTTTATTTAGGGTTTAGGGTTTGGGGTCTAGGGTTTAGGGTTTTATATAGGGTTTAGGGTTTGGGGTCTAGGGTTTAGGGTTTAGGGTTTAGGGTTTGGGGTTTAGGTTTAGGGTTTTGGTTTAGGGGGGTTTAGGGTTTAGGGTTTAGGGTTTGGGGTTTAGGGTTTAGGGTTTAGGGTTAGGGTTGGGGTTTAGGGTTTAGGGTTTAGGGTTTAGGGTTTAGGGTTAGGGGGGTCTAGGGTTTAGGGTTTTTAGGGTTTAGGGTTTGGGGTTAGGGTTCTAGGGTTTAGGGTTTAGGGTTTGGGGTTTTAGGGTTAGGGTTTAGGGTTTAGGGTTTAGGTTATAGGGTTTGGGGCTAGGGTTTAGGGTTTAGGGTTAGGGTTTGGGGTCTAGGGTTTAGGGTTAGGGTTTTAGGGTTTGGGGTTTCGGGTTTTAGGTTTAGGGTTAGGGTTTAGGGTTTAGGGTTTAGGGTTTGGGTTTAGGGTTTTGGGGGGTTTAGGGTTTAGGGTTGGGGTTAGGGTTTAGGGTTTATAGGGTTTGGGGTTTGGGGTTAGGGTTTAGGGTTTAGGGTTTAGGGTTTGGGGTTTAGGGTTTAGGGTTTTTAGGGTTTTAGGGGGGTTTAGGGTTTAGGGTTTTTAGGTTTTTTAGGGTTTAGGGTTTATATAGGGTTTAGGGTTTGGGGTCTAGGGTTTAGGGTTTAGGGTTTAGGGGGTTTGGGGTTTTTAGGGTTTAGGGTTTAGGGTTAGGGTTTTTTGGGGTTTAGGGTTTAGGGTTTAGGGTTTGGGTCTAGGTTTAGGTTTAGGGTTAGGGTTGGGGTTTTAGGGTTTAGGGTTTGGGTTAGGGTTTAGGGTTTAGGGTTTAGGGTTTAGGGTTTTTGGGGTTTGGGTTTTGGGGTCTAGGGTTTAGGGTTTTAGGGTTTAGGGTTTGGGTTAGGGTTAGGGTTTAGGGTTTAGGGTTTGGGGTCTAGGGTTTAGGGTTTGGGGTTTAGGGTTTAGGGTTTAAGGTTTAGGGTTGGGGTCTAGGGTTTAGGGTTTATATAGGGTTTTAGGGTTTGGGGTCTAGGGTTAGGGTTTATATAGGGTTTAGGGTTTAGGGTTTAGGGTTTTTTAGGGTTTAGGGTTTGGGGTTTGGGGTTTAGGGTTTAGGGTTTGGGGTTTAGGGGTTTAGGGGTTTAGGGCTTAGGGCTTAGGGGTTTAGGGGTTTAGGGGTTTAGGGGTTTAGGGGTTTAGGGGTTTAGGGGTTTAGGGGTTTAGGGGTTTAGGGGTTCAGGGGTTCAGGGGTGTGGGGATCAGGGTTTAGGCTTTAGGCTTTAGGTTTGAGGGTTTGAGGTTTAGGCTTCAGCGTTTAGGACCATAAGTTAGGGCAGCTTGCCAGTGGATACTTTTCAAGTTTGGCAACTCATTGCCTAGTACCTACTAGGAATCAGCCTTGTTTCCTACGAAGTCCGAATCTCGGCATCTGCAGCCGGGATAATTCCGAAACTAGGGGTGCCCTTTGTTGGGGGGGGGTCCTACAATAGGGATTGTCGTACTTTCGGGCATTTTCGGGAGGTCCCCTAGTTAGGGAAAGCTCCCGCATGATGCGGAGATCCTCGGACAAAGATCCGGTGCAGGCCGCTCACCAGAGCTGCACTGAAACTGTTTTTAGGGTTTGGGGCTTGGGTTCAGGGTTCCAGGGTTCCAGGGTTCCAGGGTTTAGGGTTTAGGTTTAGGGTGTAGGGCTTAGGGTTTAAAATTTAGGGTTTAGGGTTTAGGGTTTAGGGTTTAGGGGTGTGTTGTGTAAGTGTGACTCGCATGACTGGTCCACGTTTTGCTTGCGCTGTTCTCTGCGAGGCTTCCACGGAGCTCCTAACCCGACTGGCAGATGACGCCTCGGAGAAAGCGGCAGCGGCGCTGCTGCCCAAGGTTTCGGAGCGCCTCTGCAGAGCAGCGTTTAGGGTTTTGGGTTAAGAGCCAGGTTTAAGGTTAAGGGTTTAGAGTTTAGGGTCATGGGAAGTTCTCTTTGGCAGCGGCCTGGTTCCTCTCATGGCTCAAAGTTGGGAACCCTTCAATGGGTACCCAAAAAGGGACCCCAATTTAGGAAACTCCCCATATGAATTGAGGTTTTAGCAATACAAGGGATGTCTCGGTTCTTCCCTGGTCCCTAGATGAATGAGGCTTAGGCGAATGCTCCCTTTCATTTTTGGTCATTTTGGTTTCCGAAGATGTTGCCAAACACAGGCTGATGCATGGCTTCCGCATGAATGACGACGTGCCCCAGGACCACAGCCGGCTCACATGGTGTACGCCTGCAAGTATTGGATGGAACACGAAGCCGCAGCTTGCAGCATGCCCTAAACCTTATATACCCTGTAATTGGCATGTCCTGTGATCCATTTCACTCGTCTCTCCGTTGGCTGCTATTTCTCTTCTGGGGTTGTCTACTCGTCACATGCGGGGTGATCTAAATCCCAAAATGTGTTAGGTATCCTAAACTGAGCAACATAGTCTATTAGTCCCTGACTGGTCCTCTAAACTGCAAGTTTACAACCAAACAAATCAGAAATCAACAAATGGCAACAATTTATTCTATACATGTATGTATATGTGTATATATATATATATTTCTTTATTTGTTGATTTGTTCATTTATTTATTTATTTCGTTTAAACTTCTTATCGACTACTTAGATATAGAGAGAGAGAGAGAGAGAAAAAAATATATGTGTGTGTGTGTGCGACTACCGCAATATTAGAATCTGGATTCATAGCAGCCCGCATGTCGCTGCTCGCAGGTTTTTGCTGGAGATGGCGGGTCCGCTTCCCACGTTCATATGGAGCGCTGGGTTATGCTGCAGCTGTCCTGTCACAGACCCTCAACCCCAAGCCCTAACGCTAAACCCTAAACCCGAAACCCTAAACCCTAAATCCTAAACCCTAAACCCTAAACCCTACCCTAAACTGCCCTCATGTTGCATATCTCCCCAAATCGCAATGTCATGCGCCTTCCAGCGCATCCGCACAAGGAAGTCCTCCCTGCATGTCCCCAGTGCTGCAGGACCTGGTACCCATGGTCCAAATGTGCCACGTAGTGCACGGCATCAAGGCAGGTCATGGGTTTAGGGTTTTCTTGGGCCTGTGACGAGTAGCCTGTTGAAGCCTTCGACCTGTGTGGAAACTGCTGTTTCGGCCTTCGCTTTAGCCAAATGGGCAGCACTTTGGGCCTGACCCCTGAACCCTACAACCCTACACCCTGAACCCGAAACCCCCCTAAACCGCAGAAACCCAACCCACGCCCTTAGCCCTAAGCACTAAACCCTAAACCCTAATCCATCCCCAGCCCTAAACTCTAAACCCTAAGCCCGAAACTCTACACCCTAAAACCATCATCAGGCTTAAGCCTTCAACCCTAAACCCTAAACCCAACTCCCAAGCCGCTGTCAGCCTGTCCTTGGACCAAGATCTTTGGGGTGGATGCAACGTGCGGCGACGATATCAAGCCGTGGGTCACACGCCACTTGCCTCAACTTAGCTTATGTTGGGGTTTAGGGTTTAGGGTTTAGGGTTGAGGGTTGAGGGTTTAGGGTTTAGGGTTTAGGTTTAGGGTTTAGGGTTAGGGTTTAATTAGGGTTTAGGGTTTAGGTTTGTAAGGTATTGAGTTTAGGTTTTAGGGGCCTGCCACACCCACACGAAGTGCTCATGTGTGACTAAGCTGATCTGGGAAGCGACCCTAGACCCCAAACTTCGGCCCCAAACCATTCTAAGCCCTAAACCCTAAACCCAGAAAGCAGAGCACACTGGGAAGACCGAAGTGATTTCAAGCGCAGCGTCTTAGAGAGACATGTGTGGGTTCAGGCTTGAGGGTGCTCAATTTGAGTCCCTGTCTCTTGTAGGTTCTTAGTAGGTTTAGGGTTTAGGGTTTAGGGTTGCAGGGACTGGAAGGAGTCCGCTAGCGTCTTCCCCTGTTATGTATGATCCCGGGTTCCCAGGCCATCCCCGATGTCATCCCCTCTATGGTATCCCCCCACGTCCGGCTCTTCTTCGCGTTCCAAAAGCGCCGACAGTTTAAACCTTTTACCGTAACCCTAAAACCCGTAAACCGTTAAATCCTCAAACCTTCACAAGCCCCACAACCCCTGGAAACCCTACACCAAACCCTTAAATCATAAAGCCCTTAAAACCGTCAGACCCTTAAGCCTTAAACCCTTCATAAGCCCCTAAAGCCCTAAATCCCTTTAAACCCTTAAACAAAAGCCCTTAGACCGTTAAACCCTTATAAGCCCCTAAGCCCTAAACCCCTCTGAATCCTACACCCGACTGTGCGGGCAGCAGGCTTTGGCGGACCAGCGGCTGATGCTGAGGCCGTGACGGGTCATTGGGTGTGGTAGCCTGAACCTTACACCCCTATGAGCCCTACACCCCTATGAGCTCTACAAACCTCCAAAGGGTTAAGGGCTTAGGGTTTCCGATATATTTGGGGTTTAGGGTTTAGGGCTTAGGGTGCCGGACTTTGGAAAGTGCAATTGTGGGCAAACTTGATGATGAGCAGCCAAGTAGGATCCTCCCTTGTTCTCGCTTTTGGATACCCCAAACAATAACTTAGGGCTTAGGGTTTTGGAATGATCTTATTCAAAGTTAGCTTCATGCTCGGTCATTTCCGGACACGTTCTTCTGTTCGCCGGGCCAGTGGATTTCTGATCGGGGCCCCCTTGCTCTTTAGAGGCTGAAGTCCAACGGTGTCTGTTAGGAACCCTAAACCCGAAACCCGAAGCCCTAAGCCCTGAACCCTAAACCCTAAACCGCTACCCCTTTCATGATGGCGCAGGTGGCGCTGCACGTGGATCAGCCCCTCGAGCAGGAGACCACAGCAATGCCTCATCTGTGTACCCGCCAATCCTTCGGAGGATCTAGAAAGTGCTGCCCCCCTTAAGAGCCCCTAAACCCTAAACCCTAAGCCCTAAACCCTAAACCCTAAAGCCTAAACCCTGAACCCCCTATTGCTTGAGGAGCACGCCGAGTGGCTGTCCAGCCGAGGGGTGAGCATTGCCATCTGCGGCCCGGGTGATGTCATGCTCTTTTGGGGAGGCCGGGTTTAGAGTTTAGTATTTAGCGTGTAAAACCCCTCTAGCCTAAGACCTGAAACCCTGTAGCATAGCCTGACCGGGGTCTGGCTGCCTGGCCTTCGAGGTACCCGACATAAGGCGGTTTGGGGATTGGGGCTGGGGGTTTAGGGTTTAGGGTTTAGGGTTTAGGGTTTAGGGTTTAGGGTTTAGGGTTTAGAGTGGGTCAGGCAATGGTTTGAGCAACACACCCTCGAGGGCTCATGGGTAGTACAATTCGGTTTGAAGGTTGAGGGTTGAAGGTTTAGGGTCTACCTGCACCAACCCTTAGGCTAAACCCTAAGCTCTAAACCTTCATCCTGAACCCTAAGCCCTAAGCCTAAACCCCAAACCATCGCTCTTTCAGGCAACCCGCACTTTGGCGCTAACGGCCTGGGAGCCGGGCCGTGCGTGGCGCTCTTCCATGGCTGCGAGCCGCCATGAATGGCTGCGACGGTTGAAAAAGAAGCACCTTGGGTTAGGGGTTCAGGGATTTCGGGTTCAGGGGTTTAAGGTTTTGCGGTTTAGGGGTTTGGGGGTGTAGAGGTGTTGGCAAGGGCGCAACTACCCGTAGGTGCAACATCGAGGTGGCCCGAAAGGCCCTCGCAAGGCCCTGAACCCTAAACCCTAAACCTCTCTTACCTACATAATTTAAACCTTGGGGAGTTGTCGGGCACAAGGTCATATTTTTGTTGGGCACAAGGTCGTTCGGTCCAAAACGACCTTGTGCCCAGTAAAAATATGACCATCGACCCGAAGGTCTGTTTTTATTGGGGAACAAGGTCATGGTTCTATTGGGCCCCAGGTCATCTTTTTGTTGGGCTCCAGGTCATTTTTGTTATTGGGCAAGGTCGTTCGGTCTAGAAACCGACCTTGTGCAAATTTGGACCCTAGATAGTGGGACACTGAGCAAGTTTTGACTTATATCGTGGGACTCTAAGCAAGTTTTGAATCTGTAGGCTGTAGGGTAGGTTTCGGAACAATGTTGCCTGTCTCGTCACCTGAAAATAAGAATGTAAGAGAAATATATTCCTAATGCTATGGGATTCGTTGGGCGGGTAGGTATTTTTCCAACGCTCGAATAATTGCTTGACTAGTGAGTGCCTGAACTTGAGATGCTGAGCCCTAAGCCCGAAAACCCAAACCCTAAACCCGAAACCCTCCTAAACCCTGACACTCAACCCTAAGCCCTAAACCCTAAATCCTAAACCCTAAACCCTAAACCCTAAACCCTAAACCCTAAACCCAACCCGGTGTTAGCCATCGAGGTGAAGAACGAAGCTGCAGCCTCAGAAGCAGTGTCTGGGTTTAGGGTTTAGGGACGGCCCGCAACATTTGGGGTCTCGGGTCTAGGGCCTAGGGTTTAGGGTTTAGGGTTTAGGGTGGTCTTTCTTGATACTCTGCACTGAAAAGAAGACACAACTACCCTCTGATTACTATTCCCTAGTTAAGTACCCTTAAGGCTCTGTAGCCACTATGAAGGGTAGTCGGGCGCTCTAGGCAGGGTTCAGGGTTGTTTGAGGCCTTAGGCGTTTATGAAGTTTAGGGGTCCTTCCTTGTATCCCTCACATCGAAACCCCTGCATAACTTCGTATACCCGCGTAGCCTTGTGTTGTCCCTATTTGCCTGAGCAGCCTCTGCAAAATTCCTGACTACAGACAAAAGTTCTGTGAAAGTGTTCTTCTAGTGCCTGTCGGCATGATGCAAACCGTCATGGACCATCCGAGCCCCCGCCGTTCCAGTCAAGAGGTCGGATCGGTACCAGGGGAAGCTTCTTGTGCCATTCTTGCTGTTGGGGCCTTGAAGCTGCAACAGCTTCCTTGCTTTAAGGCCAAACACACGACAGGGAGGCAATGTGGCTATATACAACCCTAAATCCTAAACCTTCCATATGTACCTTAAACTCTACTCGGCCTTGTGAATCCCATATTCTATGCCTGTTTATCTGCCTGCATACTGAGGTGAAGAAAGACTACGTCTCTGGCTTCAAGCGTTCGAGCCTCTACGCCATGGACTGGGCAGGCCTGGGAGTGGAGAGAGCGTTGCGTGGGCTAGCGTCATTGGAGCCCTGGCGGCCCTAGCATGTGGTGGGCATGGCCTTCAGGGGTGCTCTTTGTTGAAATTCGTTTTGCCTGCCAGATACTGTAAGGGTTGTCTTCAGGCAGAACTCGGGGTTTGTTGAGCTCTGAGCAGTGCTCGTGTCCAAATCGCCTGCTGAGCGGTTTCGAGCTGGCTCTTTGGCTGGTGATTGCCCAGCCGCCGGCTGGCATGCAGCCAGACAAAAAAAGTGGCACAACACACACTGGGAGAGGCTATGGCTGGCTGGCTTCTTGCCTGTGCGCCTCTTTGCACTGCCCAGATCATGGAGGCGGACAGGCAGATGATGAAACCTTGCTGGTTGTGCCCAAAGAGACTCTCGCAGAATTGCTGCAGCTGTCGAAAGGCTGCCAGTTACCTGAGGCAGACATCTCCTCATCTCTCGCGCTGCTCGTAGGATCATGCACTTGGGGAAGTCCTGCAATCAGTGAGGGCTCCATCCTCAATGGATTTCCTTCAGGCGACTTAGGGCAAGATGCACGTGTTCTTCGGCTGCTCATCCATGCAATTGAGAAAGGTGCCAGGTTTGAGTATGGTCGGCCGTTGAAGCCTTCAGCATCCGGAAGAGCTGCAGCAAACGTGGATTTCCCGGGACGGATTGTGCCAGGTGCGCAGTACTTCATCGCATCCTTCCCGGGGAAGTTTCATCAGGAGTGGAAAAATCTTACCCAGGCCATTGAAATTCCACCGCTTGCGTTTTCTTCCCGGATGAGTCCCACCTCAATGGCATGCATTGCACTGACCACCGTGATGGTTTTGAGCGTTGCTTTTGTGATGCCCTCTATGGGCAAAAGCAACCATGGGGCTGTGCTTGGTTCGAGCTTTGGAAGCAGGCCAGATTCCCGTTGTGGTCTACTTCAACGGGCACCACTCGACGTCCGACAAAAGCACCTACAGAGAGCGCTTCCACCTTGGCCATTCTGAGGAACACGATCTCCCTGAGGAAGAAACTGCTTCAAGCTTTGACGGCTTGGGCGGATCCCAGAGAGGGGAAGTTGAGTACTTGAAGTCGCTCATCGACCGCGCGACCATATTCAACATGGGCATGAATGAAATGCACTCCGTGGCCAAAGAAGCAACAAGCACCTGCCCCAAATGTGCTTCACTGTGCATGCGAAGACGTGCTAGGCATGAGGAAGACAGAAGAGATCGCCTCAGAACGTTCGAATACATACATTGCGGCGAGTGCAAAACTGAAGTCGTCTATCGCAATTGGTTCGACTACGTGGTTTCAAAATGAATCGCTCAACACCATGATTTCGCCCAAAGCCATTTATTGAGCAAAGATGGGCAAAGACCAGTTGATTAGCCTGCAGTCGCAAGTTTTACGTTTTGTGCTCCCAGCCCTGTTGCGAGGTGACAGTTTTCTTTCAGCTGCTTTTCGCCCTCTTCAAAACAAGAAGCGCCATCAAATGAAAATCAACTGGAGTGTGCCTGCGGCATCCAATCACGGGTGTTTAGCGGTTTAGCGTTTAGGAAAGATCCTGGTGTGGCTTCGAGCTTGGTTGCCCTTGGTTTCGAGAGTCTGGACCCAGCAAGCGGGTCACGTGACAGCTCGAAACCTTTGGGGGTTACTATCGTCTAAATATAAAGGGACCACAAGGGAATACGACTGGTAATGATTCCGAGCCCTATTCTACCCTCTGTTTTCCCCTGACTAAGTGCCTGCTATTCAGGGGCCCTCTAGGCCCTATGAAGGGTAGTTGGGGGCTTCTAAGCCAAGGACTTACGGGCCTCACGGTTGTCGATTTGGTAGTTGATCATAAACATTTGTTTTTTCCCAGAAGGACCCTATATTTTTCTGCCTTATCAACCCATGAGAGGGTTTAGGGTTTAGGGTTCAATTTCCCAGAAGCAGTTGTAGATCGACCGCCAGTTGGTTTTGGAAAATCCCGCAGCATCCCCCTATGTATCTACTGTTTGCTTAAGATCCCCCCAAAGTTGTAAAAATACTACCCTTTTAAGGAAGAAGATGTTGTTTTTTTCTTTTGGCGGCGAGGGTTCTTAAGCAATTCGTAGGTATAGGGTTCTTAAGGGAAGGGCGTTCATGGGGGTAGGTGCCGAGGGAAGCTTAGGGAGCCTTAGGGAGTAGTGGGGAGTATTAGGGAACCTTGGGCTACATGCCCTCTTGATCCCCCCTCCCTTAAGAAGCTCTAAACCCTTAACCCCCTAAACCCAAACCCTTTTCAGAACCCTATAACCTGTGGCAGGGGACAAGCTCTTAGTCGCCGCAAAGGACGGCCAGCGCCCCAGGGTTTTCGCCCTTGCAGGGGTTCAGGGCTTAGGGGGTTTGTGGTTTAGGGTTTAGGGTTTAGGGTTTTCAGGTTGCCTATTAAAACCATAAGCGCCCCGCTGCCCTGCGGCCCTAAACTTAGGGATATTTGGAATTGATTTTTTTGTTTTTGTTCTAGTTTTGCTATATTTCCAAGTTCGGTATAGCAAACCTGTAGCTCCTTGGGAGAGCGGGCCCCACCCATAACCCCAAGCCCCCCAACCCCCAAACCTTGCCGGAAGTCTAATATAGGCCCCAAAGCCAAACCCTCCGCCGTTTTGTAGGTCTTAGTTGCCCTAAACCCTAAACCCTCGATCGCCTCTAATCCCCAAACCTAAACGGGCGTGTTTTTGAGAGCCCCCGGCTCGGATCTGACCCTAAACTTCCGAACCCTGAACCCTGAACCTTAAACAACCCTCAACCCTAAACCCTAAACCCTCATGATTTTAAGTGAGGCCCAGGTATCCGCCTGCAGGACGTCGAGCGAGGCCTGCCGTCTACCCATCCTCGAACATCCTCAGAGTTCGGGAACCCCAAAAGCCGTAAACGGCCTAAACTCTGCACGCACACAGGGTTTAAGGTTTAGGGTTTAGGGTTGGGCTGTTCCCCCTTTACTAGCAGTCCTTAATAGGAAATATAGGGGTACCAGAATACCCATTAAGGACTGTTAGTATAAGGGGGAGCATCCCAAACTCGACACTCATACAGCCTGAAAAACCGTAAACCCTAAACCCTACATTCATACAGCCTAAACTGACCTAAACCCCCCAAAAACTCTGTGGGCTCAGGGCTGAGGGTCCAGAACTCTTTTTTGGTTTCCCCAAGCATTCTTCAGTTTCCCAGCAAAGGGTTCCTGAGAGTCGTCCGCCTTCACTCCTTCATTCAGTTGGTTTAGGGTTTGAGGGGTTGTAGGGTTGAGGGTTCATAGGATTTAGGGTTTAGGGTTTTAGGGGTTCTAGAGTTGAGGGTTCGTAAGGCTTGAAAGGGATTCCAAGGGGGACACCTGAGAACTGCACAGTTCCAGTTTCTCACTTTGGGAAATGGAGAAAACCCGAATAGGGCTTAGTGTTTGGCGTTTAGGGGGCTTAAAACAGCCAGGTTCTTGAAGTATGGGACTTGTGTGCTGGCGAGTTGACATGCTCTTCACTTAACCATGCAATACATGAATCAAACATTGTTTATCATCTATAATACCCTTCTCGGATTGCCCCAATTTGCATGTGCCATCGTAGGGGCCGTGCTGCTCAACGTCAAGCTCTCCCTTGTTGCTTAGCTTCTGGAACTCTTCTGTGCTCAATGTATGGATGGCTTTCGAACTTAGACCTTAAATTCTAGATGTACAAGGAGTCTCAAAGCAAAAGCCTATACACTCCAACTCATAGACCCCCAGTCCAACCCTGCAGCCTCAGGGTTAGGGTCCGAAGGTGACGAGGAGCGGAGTTGGCCAGGAGAGCCCCGCACCCAGGTCTTGGGTTTAGGGCTCATGGGGCTCCAAATCCTAAACCCTAACTGACGGTAACTGACGGTTGAGGGCTTTAGGGGCCCTGAACCCTCACTCGTCACAGAGAGGGGGCCGTTGTGAAGCAACCTGACGAGATCCGTGATGTTTATCCACATAGGACCCTGGGTCCAAGAGGAGCTGTAGGAAAAACGTTCGGAGGGGTTTAGGATGTTCAGGGGGCCAGCCTAGGTAAAGTGCCTCGAAGTGGCTTTGGGACCCCAAGCCCTAAACCCTAGGGGCAGTGGCGTGCCACTTGCGCGGAACTCCTAAACCGAAACCCTAAACCCTAATTCCTCAGCCCTAAACCTTCCTAGGTGGATGAGCATCCGCACAGATCCCAACGACCCCCGCATAGCTGCTGCTGTTGCCTGGAATGGCAAGCCTTGCCCTGAGATCCCGATTCCTCTGTGCCTGTGCAGGGTTTAGGGTTTAGGGCTTATACGGCTTACAGGGCATTACAGGGTTCATCCTGTGGGGGGGGGGGGCATAGAGGGTATCATATGGTTGTTAGAGTTTTTTGGTACACCGAGCCCTGAGGGTGCTCGTGCACATCCGCACGACAATGTGCGAAGGGGGAACCCTGGTCTCCCGAAACCAGCTGAACCCTAAACCCCAAGCCTTGAATATAGGGGTTGGAATAGATACTACTACTATTCCCTTAGGGTTTCCTTTATAATTCCCCCCCCCCCCCCCCCAAAACCTTCTAATTCTTCAGGCAGCCTATGTTACTCAATGGTGTTTTGCCGGCAGGTTCTCAGCCTCTTAAAGACCCCACCAGAGCCTGATGCTCCCGATGGCTGTGCTGGTAGGTGTTATGTGGCTTATGGGGCTTTTATGGCTTATAGGGCTTACGAGGTTGCATTCCCTCCACATGAAAGCTTGAGCACCCCCGGCTTCCTGATATGAACCTGTTCCGATTCTGTCGCTGCGTTTCTCCATACTAACGAGAATCATATCTCGAAACTCAGATGTTCCCATCGCCATGTTGAACATCCCCAATAATCAATGTCTCAACAACTCCGACTACTACGCGATTGGACCATATCCCTGGACCCTAAACATCATTCTGCGCCCTATACCCTATAAACCCTTTAACTCACGCCCGATAAACCCTATAGACCCTACGAACCCTAAAGACCCTTTAAACCCTGCCTACACCCTCCACCCTAAACCCAGAACCCTCCACCCTAAACCCTAAACTCCAAGCTCTTACCTACCGGGGGGAGGGGGGGGGATCAGCTCCCATTGCGCCTCTCTGAGGTTCAAGATCTTCGACACCAGGTCTTCGAGCCCTGTGCTTATGGCCCCGTTGCGCGTGTAGGAAGGTACCCTCCTAAACCCTAAACCCTAAACCCTAAACCCTGATTTTCGGAGACCCCCAGGTAGTTCCGTTTTTGACGTGGACTTGAAAAAGACAGCGCCATCGATGCGGGACCCCGCCTCAATGTTCTGGTACTTGGAGGTTCATGGTACTTGTTAACCAAATATAACTAACTGTACTTATAGCTTCCTATATCCATATTAGGGCACTTAAAAGGGCTTATCAGTGGGTTATAAGTACAGTTATGATTGGTTAATAAGTGCCATGAACCTCCAAGTGGTCTTCGCTGATATGAGCAAGTCAGATCGGGAAGGCGTGCCACGACGTCAGGACTTCCTGCATCTCTGCTGGTCTCCCGACTCTAAGACCATCGCCCTCAATAATCGCAGCGAGCTCATCAGCACTGCAAGCTCGTGCAAAGTTGGTTTAGGGTTTAGGGTTTAGGGTTCCTTGCGCTTTCTGCCTTGATGGACAGCTGCACTGTGAACTACCCAGGCAATGATCAGATCTACCTTCTGAGCCTGAAGACTCCGAAGGGTGACAACCACCTGAAGCTAGGTCTGGGCCTGTGCAGAGGTTAAGGCTTTGCATGTTCTCCCTTATACTAGCAGTCCTGAATAGGAATTTATAGTAACCCCCCTATTTTAATCCCTATTAAGGACTCTTAGCATATATAAGGGGGAGCATCCCAAGTGTTTCCTGTAGGAGACATGAAAGACGGGGGGGGTGCCCATGCCAAGGCTCTTCGAAGAACCTGAACCTGGAGGCCTGGAACGACCCTTAAAACCCTAAAAGCCCTGAAGCCCCTAAACCCTAAAACCCCTAAAACC